CCGGGTCCCCCCCCCCCCCCCCCCCCAACATGCTGGTCGCGTGGCTCCTCTCTACACTACTAGCCCGACTGCCTATAACGTAGACCTGCATGATGGAAGAGAGGGACATTGTGTCATCAATCCCACTCACATTAGATCCCCACCCTCCCTCCCCCTTTTCAATGTGGATGTCCTATCACTTTGGTCCTAGCCGGGCTCTATTTTCTTCTCTGATTGCCCTGGCCCCCTGATGCCCTCCAACTGCCGCCGGCCTCGAGAAGCAACCAACCAGGGCGGACGGAGGTCAGGCCATCAGTCTCAGCCTTTCTGGTTCCCAAAACACACCGACCCCCGCCGGCAGACCACAAAGATGGGGACAAACACGAGGGAAAACGGCGAGGCGGAATTGGGGCCTGGGCCAAGCCATGGAAGCGGTCTGCGTGTGCCCCCTCGTATGGGGGAGGGGGGCTTTTCAGGCAAGGCACCCATCTCTAGAGAGCTCCTTCGTCCTAGCAGCTAGCCCAGGCGGTGGCGTTTGTGGCGCTTGCTAGCCCCTCGACTTGTTCAGGTTCACCACCGGCTGGACCTGCCTGAGAAGGGATGAAAGGAAACGTATACCGACATCGAAGGAACCGAAAAGAAAAACTAAGAGTGAGAAATGATAATAAGAAACACAGGAAGGGGAGAGAAGCGAGATGATGGCGTGTGTCCCAAGCCTCAGGTGTTGCACATCAACAACCCTGAACTTTGGGTTCATGTCCGCGGGGTAGGATTATTGCCTGGTTCGACTGCGTTGCACCACCTGAGGCGGCTAGGCGGCAAATGCCGGCGGGGCTGGAAAGCCACGGGGCTGGACCGCCAAAGGACATCATCGCACCTCCCCTCAAAGCGCGAAATCGAGATGGTCCGTCCGGTTGGCATTTTTCGGCAGCTGAGCGCCTCCATGCCAGTGCGTGGGGGACTGAAGTCAGTGCCACCTCGGCTACCGCCATCATCCATCGTGCCTATACATGGTACTTTTCGTTGCTAGTCAGTTAGTGTTTGGCCCGGTCCCAAGATCGGGGCCCCGTTGGTGCCTAACCCTTTTTTTTTTCTTTCTTTCTTTCTTTCCCTACTGACTTTGACTTTGACGGTCACCGCTGTTGGCTCGTGGCCGCGGAAAAGCCAAAACAGAAGACGGACAGACGGACAGGCGGGCGACCCGGCCCATTCACCAAAATGGCTCCAGGCCGGACCAGGCTAGGTGGCAGAATTCAGCGCGCCGTCTTTCTTTTTTGTCACTCTCTATCGGCTTAGCTGAAAGAGCTGAAGACGAAGACGCAAGACGCAGGGCTTTTTTTTTTTTTGCTTTTTTTTTGGAAGATGCACCACGGACCAAATGGATCCTGGCTGCGGCGCGCCAGCGTCCGTCGATGGGCGTCTAGCCTAGACGGAATTTCCCATGCCAAGGACACTCTAAAAGATCCAAGGCACACACGCGCACATGCCTGCCCCCCGAGAGCTCTTGGTGACCTCCACTAGTTTCCCCCTTTCAAACCAACTCGATGCTTTATCAAATCTCGAACTAGGCCCAGACTGCTGGCAGTTTGCTTACATGCAGCAATTTTGTCCACGCCTTCCTTGGCCATGCCTGACGTCACTAGCACGATTGCCGGGAGTCCGTTTTTTGACCGGACATTTATCAAGTGTAACTACCTATGGAACGATACCGGTAGAAAGTGGAAAACAGTTGCTGTATAATGGTATCCGCGGAAATGAATAGACAATGGGAAAAAGAAATCGTTGACAGGCACAACAGCCAGATCATGGAAAGACGGAAATGAACCAGTCATATGAGAGAAATTGACAGCCCAGACGCCTTCGTTTGTCGCCAAGTCATCATCAGGGATTTGTGGAAGAGACAAGGGTGTCATCAAGAAATAACGACGAAGGAAAGGCCAGAAAAAGGGGAAGGTTTGATGCGGCCTTCAAGGTCTTTCGCGATACTTGGGCTTCCTCGCCATGTCGACAACCGGCGGGGGCTCGTCCTCCATCGGGTAGGGCAGCGTCGGGGCCCCCGGTCGTCGCCCGCCGGCGGCTTGGTGCTCTGGAAGGGGTGTCTTGGGTGGGAGCGGAGGCGGGTAGTTCGGGTGAGCTCCGTGAGGCGGCCGAAGCGTACCCGCCCTGTTCCTGTCATCCGCGCGACGCCTTGGCTGCTCGTCAGCCCCCATGATGGCGATCTTGTCTTGCCCCGTCGCGTTCCGCCATTGAGCCGGCGTCGGTGCCTTCTCCACGAGACGGTCCCCATCATCCTCCGAATCTGTCAGCGCGCTGACAGTGCTGAGGGTGCTGCCCGCCATCGACGGGGTCTGTTGATGGGACGGTTGCCGCGGACTGCCCGTTCCTGCGGGACGGATTCCAGTCGGAAGACCCGCCATGGCGCCGGCGGGCGGAGCCGGCAACGGGCGGTCTGTCAAACGGTCTCCCGAACTCCGTGGAGAAGAGGCCGACACAGGCACACCGAGACTGTCCCGTCCCGACTCATATGACTGCCTGCTCGAGGGTGTCATGGGGGCGTGGCCATAGCTCGGCGGGCCGTTCGGCGGGCCGGCGGGCATGTCGCCTGGCAGTTCGACCGCGAACGGCATCGAGACCTCGGACGGCGTCTGAATCAGCTCCGGCACGGGGCCTACGCGTTCCCATCGCATCTTGGCACGGTGAATCTTGGCGAGCTTCGCCGAGGCGCCCTGAACCATGCTATTCTCGTCGCGACGGCCCAAGTACTGCCTCGTGCCTGTGCTGATATCGGCGAGGCGGTGCCACTCGTTCATACCAAACTCCCCCACGCCCATCTCCACGTTGAGGCGATAGTAGTTCTCGACGTTGACGCCACGCTTGATGAGGTGCTCCTTGTAGACGTACTGGTGGATGGTCTCGCACCCCTCGATCTTGGCGATCAGCTTCCTCCTCGCCTCGGCAAACTCGCCCAGAAAGCCCTCATACCAAACCGACTGGTTCGCATCGCTACTCTTGGGGCGCTTTCCCGTTCCTACGCTGATGAAAACGCCGACTTCACGACCCGGCCACTCGTTGACTACGGCCTCGTCCAGGGCCTGTATCGCGGGGTTGAAGGTGCCGGCACCGTCATCGTGGAACATCGACTGGCCGATTCGGATGGGTTTGAACGCGAGGCCGATGGCGCACGTCGCCCTTCCCGCTTCCCAGATCCTGCAATCGAACTCTGGCGCCGGCTCCTTCCTTGAATCGTAAGATCTTAGTATCGCCGGCTCGGCGCCTTTCTGGGTGCCCTTGTATACGGCGGTGACAGCCCTGTTCGTGGAAACGGAAACTCCAGTTAGTAAACCAGGGTCACGACTTTGAGTCCGAAGCGCCATGTAAAATGTCTTATATCTCAGGGGCTCTCACGTTTTCGTTCTGTGCTCTCGTGCGTCGTAGAGACTGGCTTCCGGGTCGCCTCCCCGCGAGTTGTATGCTGGGCGGGCCATCTGCGTTGTTGGACTCCTGGCGCTGAAGCTGACAACGCTCGCATTGCTGGAATGCCTGCGAGGGTATCCCTGACCGTTCGGGCGCGATAATCTGTTACGATGGGAGGGGTTTATGTTGCTCGTGGCCGGTGACTCGGATCCGTCATTGCCCTCGGCCTCGTCGATTGTGTGTTCCCTCACGGCCTCCTTGATGGCGAGCTCGAGCATCGAGGCCTTGAAAAGAGTCGACCGCGTGGGTATTCCGAGTATCGTCTTGTCCGTCTCAAAAACCATACGTGTCAGGCGCACGTACAGCTCCTTGCACGTCTCGAGGTCAAGTCGCAAACGCCCAAGCATAAGAGCGATCAGTCCGCCCGTGCCCGTGCCCACGATGAGGTCAAAGTGGTCGGCCGGCTTCGGGATTTCGGAGCGGCGCGGGGCACGCCCTTCGATCTCGACAAACGTCCTGTGCATGATTTCTTGGAGTATGATAAAGATGCTATAGCCGCGCACTCCTCCTCCATCTGCGTTCGCGGTCAGTCGGCGATACGTCAGCCACCATCGTCGCCAAACCGGGTCTGCGCGAGAAGTGAAGGGGAAAAAATGGAAAGGCGGCGGAACCGCACGCCTTGTCGCGTTGCGTGCGCGCGCACTCACCTAAAGAAAGAACCCGGAGGGGAGGGCCCTTGGTGGTGTCCTTCCTGCGCACATAGCTGCTATCCATGGCCGCGTTGATGTCTCACACGCCTCGTCGCTGACGCCGTTGACTGCTGAGAGCCTCTGGTAAATTTGCGCCCGGGCGCGACTGTTTGGACGCCGAGGACAGTGATAAGTCTTGCTCGTGCTACTAATCGACCAGCGGGGAAAAGTTGGGCAGCGGAGTGGCTACGTCCAGATCGATGGTGGCGAAGCAGAAGACGCGCGGGTCGGCGGGTTGGGTCGACTCGACTCGAATGAATGGATCAATGATGGCAAACAAGCCGCGGGATTCAATCGGATGGAACTCCCCACAGCGACAGCGGGCCCTTGACTGACGGTGACGCACGACGCAGGGCAAGGTGCGGCGGTGCCGGAGCTTGGGCCAGAAGGAGGGGTGTTTCTCGCAGATCCAAAATAAACTCGAATCAAAAAGAGGGTCGCTGCCGAAAAGTTGGGTTCGTCGATATTGCAGCTTGGGTTGACCAGGATGGAGAGCGGATCGCAGAACAGAACAGAAGGCGATTTTCGCAGTTGAGGGAGCCAGAATTGTGTTGGTCGCTCTTTTTTTTCTTCCCAGTCAGGGGACACGAGGGTGTATTGACGCTGCCTGGCAGGTGTTCTTGTGACGACTGCGTTTCTGGGCATGCAGACTCGTGTGGCCTTGGGCGACCCCGATGTGGGTGGCAGTGCAGGCTGGGGTTTCCCTGCTTCAATCGTATTTGGTCGATCAGGCACCCGCCAAACCTCGGGCTTCCTGGTGGCGGCCCCCTCTTCAAAGATGGCCCCCTTGGCTGCCAAGGTTGTCAAGCGAGTGTCGAGCAGATTTTGCGTCCCAGCCCTGACATGCAGATGTTCCGTTCTCCAGCGGAATGAGCGAGACACATTTTTCACGCTTACATTGTGGATATCTGTCCTGGCTGACCTCTTCCTAGAGGGGCTCCAAACGGTGAGGTCTCATGTAGGGTCTCCCGAAGAGTCCTCTCATGGTCAGGTCAGGTCAGCACATGCACCGGACACGAAGCCGCCGCGGACTTGGTGCAGATGTCAGAAATCCATATCCGTCCCAAGCGTTGACGTTGGCAGTCTAGCCGTGCTAGCCTAGAAGAACGGCGAGGTTTAACCGCTTCCAGACCATGTAACGAGCCGCCGCTTGCGCCATGGTCGCCCGTCTAGGGACCTCCCACGCCCGGATAAAAAAAAACGGGACACTTTTCAATTGGTGGTGGTGGTATGCACTGGGGCAAAAATTGAAAAGTGTCTCGTTTTTTTGATCCGGTCGTGCCTCCTAGGCTAAGGCTTCCCGCAAGTCAAGTAGGCAAGGAAGAGCGGTTAGACTTTCGGCATCTTGCGATCTTGCATCTGCAGGTGTGGTATCGCAGACACGCGGCGGCCAGGAACCGGGAGGGGCGAACGTCATGGCAAGTCTCTGCTCCCTCGTTGGGTCGAACGGGCTGCGCGTGAATGTCCCCCGTCTCTGAGGTCGCCACGCCAAGCCCGCATGCGCCGGGCCAGTCCACTCGGGCAGCTGAGCGGACTTGATTGGCTCCCAGCGCCGCAATTTTCATTCCTCCCGCGTCTCCCCCTCCTCTCTCCGCTGGGCTGGAGGTGGCGCAGCCTGCAGCGCCAGTCTGCGAAGGAGAACGCGCGCGCGTTCCGACCAACGGTCCCCTGGTGTTTGATCGATTCGATTTAAGTTCGCCACGGAGTGAGCGTGGGATGGCAATGTTACTCCGTATAAGCACGAGGCGTGAACCCGGCTGGCACGACGTTACATCCGCCAACCAGAACACTATTGCTTTTCGACCATCAGTGCCAATCTCAGCAAAAACGGTTATCCGCATCCCCTCACCAATTTATTTTTCTGCGGCCTGGCCTTGTCAGCATTGGGTATGAATGTGTGGTGCGTGATGCCGTAGTTGTCGGAAATGACGAGGTTGGCGAGTTCTCACCTTGGGCGACAATAATGCCCCATCCCGAACACGAAGTGCCATGGAATGTCTGCCAACCGACACCTCGTGTGTTCAAGAACCACCTCGTCAAAGCCGACGTCTGCAGCTTAATACAAAGTCTAGCCCTATTAGACAGAGGAGGAAAACGTGGAAGATCCTTGGACGACGTCCCAGATTATAATCACGAGGACGTGCTTGACCAGACCCAATTCCCCAGCTGTGCCATTCTAGCCTTGGCGGAGGATCAAATGGGAGACCGCGTTGAAACTCGGGGGCTTTGCAAAAGGCATCAGCCGCTCCTTCCCGCTCCTTCCCGCTCCAAACACAAGCCACAGATAGCAGCACAGTAATGCCTACTAAAACTTCGTTCCCGCCAGAGACCCGTCAAGAGGGGCTAGCGTTTCTCTGCAGCCTGACGTGTGTGATCCTTTGGAGCCAAAGGCTCCTTTTTGGAAACCACCACCAGCTTTCTCCGCAGGTGGTCTTAGGCCCACATCATCATTTCACAGGGTACACATTCACCAGGCACTCATCCAGGTGAATTGTGGCCGTGTAATTCCATGATCCTCAAGCAGTGTCTGTTGTTTTTACTGTAATGCTTTACCAAGTAGATATTTACCTACGATTTGCTTAACTGTCAGATATTGCCATATGGAAACTACCTCTCCGTCAGTTCGTCTGATGTCGCCGTTCCTTCTGGCAGCAAAGGAGGCTCGGGCTAGCCTCAGCCCTATTGCAGGTGGGCCCATCCATATTCAGGACCGAGGAGGGTGGGGAGCACAGCACGCATGGGGCCGATACTCTACTTAGGCAGCCACACAGCTTTGGAGCTAAACCTCCATCCAATGCCATCATCCTTGCATGATTCCCGACAACCCACCTGGACAAACACCACGGAGGTCTCGAAATCCAGACATGGAGACAGGCTAGCAGCCAGAAAAGTGTCTTGCTCACCCCCTTGGCCAGTGCTGCCTGGGCAGTGTAGCATCCATTTATTGGAAATGTAGCGATGTGGGTGGAACATACGACATTGCGGATGGCGGAGATGATCATTACCAACCTATGGCAGGCGCAGCTCGAGTCCGTCCCAAGACCGGCACCAAAGCCTTCCACAGCCTGGCCGGTCGACGAGCGGGGAAGGCATGGCCCTTTTTTTTTCTCAGCCTGCAGTGCCCTTCGTGGAAGGATCCAGCCTTTCACGAACTAGCATGGGCCGGGGACTTGTCAAACGCTCCTTCCTGCCGTGACATGGTCCTCCGCCCCTGCAGGGCCGCCCGGTACCTGACACTTGTTGATTAGCAGCAAGTGACCTCGACAATGTGCCGGGCACAGCGGGCAGCTCGGGGCAACCCCCATTGATCTTTTCGGTGCTGTTAAACTCCTTGGTATAGCCCCAGTCGTCTCTCTTCGATAATAACCTGTTCATACCCAGCCCGTCCAGCTTTCCAGGTACCTACTACGCCTACACCTACACCTATCTGGGCTACCATTCATTGCCCGACCAGGAAAAAAACCACATCCTCCATTGTGTCAAGCTTTCGCATACGAGTTCGATCGATCGCCCGCCGCTCCTCCGAGATCCATAAAGATCAGATCCAACATGTTGAACCTCGTCGCATTGGGCCTTCGAGGCTTTATGGTACGATCAACCCGGCTCTCTCCCTCTCTCCCCAGTCTTCTTTGATGCCCCAGCTCCGAAATTCTGCGTTTATATATTGACATCTGGGCCATGGAATCCGTAGTTCCTCGCTGCTGCCGTCGTTCTCGGTCTCTCGGTCACTCTCGCCAAACACCAGGTTGTCGGGGGGCCTCCCGCCGAAACCTCGTTCGCTAGTTTTACTGGTGGATTTGGGGTGTTCGCTGCCGCCGTCGGGATCGCCGCTATATTCTTCGAAGCAATCCCCTCACTGGTGCCCCTGGCCCTCGATGGCTTGTCCGCGCTCTTCTTCCTCGCGGGCGGAATCGTCAGTCTCCCAATCCCTCCATTGATGCCTAGCCATCGCCACCGTGCCAGCTCGTCAACGCTGCCCCGAAATTCTGCTGTACGGTGATTGCTTGTGAAAATATCGCTAATTTTGCAACGAACATGGTTCCAGGCCCTCACCATGGCAATGAAGGACGTTTCATGCACTTCCACCGCCAACGGACAGGACCTTGTACGATACCTAAACAAGATCTTGAACGGCGGATGCTACACACCTGATAATTGTGGCGTAAACGAGGGCTTTCGGAGAAGCGAAGACCTGGTCAACGAACTCAAAGGTCGATGCGTGAGGGTACAGGCAGACTTCTCGTTCCAGTACATCGCCTTCGTCGCTGCTCTCGCTTGCCTCGTGGTAACATTCCTCTCCGTGAGGAGGTCTGGTACGAGGGTTTTCGCCTGATATCCATATAAGGCGTGCCTCTATGGGCTACATCCTGGAACGCTATATCATCTCTTGAAGTAGCCAACCCGGACCCGCTTTGTTTGGAGCCCTTCCTAGCACGAGCATTACGGAGTATCCGAGGACGGGGCCAGCCACTCCGCAGGAAAAGATGCGATGCTTTCTACGAATTTTCATGGCAAATCTGATTTACGGCAGTTAACATACCCCGTTCTTTACTTCGTTCGCTCTCTAAGCCTCTTTCTCTTCCTCTATGCAACAATTAGATCCTGGGCAAGTGTGTGGAAATATTGGAGATTACGGATTCCCCCCACAGAGATGACGAGGCAGATAGCACAAGGCGTTTGTGAGGGAGACGGACTCGGGAAGGACATGGGCTCATATTCATATTGCGTAGTTGGGCTTAATTAACGCCATTCACGCTTTGCTCATGTATGTATCTCTGTGAACCCGAGCCTGTTCCGAAGAATGTATGGTCTACGGAGGATATTCACCTTCGAGATTAGACGCCCAAATATCATGTGGGGAGATGGGCACCAGTCACAGTGCTGGATAGCAATCCCGGAGTTCTAGCCACTTGGTGAGACGTAGTTGAGTGAAACTCAAGTCGATATTGGGTATAGCCACATCTCCCGATTCATGCGACGAAGGCAATGACATGGACCCTACTCAGCGTTGGCCTAGAGCAGGCTAGTAGTATCGTTTTTTTTTTTTTTTTTTGGCAGAGGAGGACGACAGCATTGGCGACGGGGGCAGTGGCGAGCAGCCAGACAAGCCGCTTGGCCTGTTGAGGCAGGCAAACAGGTGGTTGAATAATAGAAGAGATTACGTTATTATGGAACTCCGGTGCCGGAGGACGACGGCGGCTAGCTGTATATTATATATTGAGCCTATCATTCGTCATGTTACGCTTTAGCCCTCGAGAGTTGACGAGTTTAGTCACAGATTTAACTTGGAGTGCTTGTGGCTTCGATTTCTAGCCGAGAATCTCACGAGTTTCAAGAAACCAGGTGGTAGAGAAGGCTCGGGAGAGAGGGAGCGTAAAGGCATGGCAACACGGCTGACAGACGTAACCCTATGTCGGAGAGACAGAATTACGTCAACGCCACGACTTGGCTGCTTTGGGGATGCTGCTTATACGAGATCATGTACCTCTGTGGACAAGAAGATAGGTAAAATGTCGTCTGCGGACCCACTTCACCATGCACTCCCACGCGGCTGCAAAAGAGGTCAGCAGCCACGCTCAAGAAGCCGGACGTAGCACCATGACGAGGGCTACCGCTGTTCAGAGCCATGGCGACGCAGAGTTGGGCGGCTGACAACGGTGAGGTGTGAGGACAGCCAACCGGTGGGTCAAATATTTTGCACACCGACAATTGCTGGGGGGGGGGGCACTCGATGTGGGAGGCGTGGAGCGGGTGGGTTGCGTGAGTTTGGGCTGGCGCTGCTGCTGCTGGGTGCCGGTGGTGGCTGATTTTCTGGATGGAGCCGAGATGCCCAGGTGTGGCCTTTGATGGTCCGAAGCGGAATGTGAGCTTGTGTGGGTTTTTAGCGCCGGACATTAGGGATACGTGCAACGTGCAGCGGTGGACTTGGACTGGCAAATATTGATTCCACCACAGACGTTTTTGACAAGGGCTCCAGGCTGCTTGCTCCCGCCAAGAAAACGAGGTGAGGGAGGCAGCTGCACGTGCGCCCGTTTGTCACAGGCCCCCCCCCCCGCAAGCAAACAAAAGGGAGAGCGCGAGGCGCGGGAGTCGCGACCACCTACCCCAAACCCTCCCTCGAGGCCCGGAAGGTCGAATGGGGTAGGGGTGGTGATCCGGTGGCGTCAAACTGCAGGCGCATGAAGTGGGATGACCTGGTCCAATCGGGGCTGGAGGCGACGGGCGTTGTGTGGCCACCTCTTTGGCCGCCCTGCAAACAGACCAGAACCCTTTGGCCTTCTGGATTCGCAGCCGGCTCTGCACCGCTGACTGCCTGTGGTTGGACGGCTGCACTTATCGAGCTGCATGGATGTCGAGTCAGGGATGCATTGCTGTCAGTGGGGAGGCAGAGAACCGCGCTGCGGCCACAAGCAGAAGCCTGTGGTTCCGACAACGCTCGTTGGAATCCCAGTTATTACTTCCAACCGACCTGGCATGTGCGTTTCGTTTCCCCGTGTCTTATATATACACCGAAACAACCAGGCCAAACGGGAACGTGACAACCTCGGTGGGCAAGTCGCTGGAAGGAGGGGGATGGAGACTGGGGAATGGGTCATGGCAGACAAGGAAGCAACACCGGCAATGAATCAAAAAACAAACGGAATAAAATCAAACAGGAAGCTGGCAATCTACAATGCAGCATTCACTCGCGCGTCCCCAGCGCTAAGTGATGTGCCTAGTGTCCCGTCCTTTAGGCTGGCTGCAGCAGATCACCAATCACCCAGACCGAGTGGGCCGATACACCACGTAGCCGAGGCGCGGCGGCCCTAGACACCCAAACAAAGGCTGGATGGGACGGCCAGCCAGAGGCGGCAGCAGGCCTATGTAGTAGGTATGGGGCCTCGTTGAAGCCTGAAAGGCAGCCGGTGCGCGGTCGGTGTGGTCTCGGCTCACGTGTCGGTCTGTCGTGGAGTCTTCCCACTGTTTTTGTCCTGCGTGTCCACGGCGACGGGACGACAATTCCGGAGGGAGGGAGGCAGGCATTGGTGGGAGACAGGCAGCAAACAGTAGGGCCTAGCTGCATGTGTTGCGTTGCGTCGCGTTGAGCGAGAAACGGCGGCGGCATGGGTGCGCCAAGGCCGAATGACAGCCCCAGCTACCAGCCAGGCTGCTGCCCGTGGAGCTGCCCCCTCGGGGCTCTGCGTCTGCAAAACCTCGTGCGTGCTACAAACCCAAGGGGCCCCAAGGGACTCGGCGGCAAATCAATTGAGCCTGTCGCCGTCGAGGAGGGAGGGGAGGGGAGGAGTCGAGCCGGGATGGATGGAGACTCGTGCCGGGAGGGGGGGGGGGGAAGGAAGCGATTCCGTCAACGGTGGACATGAGGGATCTGATTGGCGGACGTCGAATGGCTGGCTGGGCCTTGGTCGCAACAGAGCAGCCTCCTTCGGGCGATTCCATCAGGCCGCGGGCAGGTTGGAGCGGGTTGGGCATGGATCGAGGTGTGCGACGGCGTGTCCTTGGCCGGTCGCCCTGCGCGGGCCCCACCCGAGCCCTGATGGCGCCTTCTCACAGGTGCCCGCCTGGGCGTTTCCAGGTCATGCCCTCCCCCTGGATGCACTGGCTGCACTGGCTGCAACCATCGAGTCTGGCCGGCTGCAAGATGCTGCACTCTCAACTGCAGCAGCACTGCTGGCTGGCGCCCACTCCCGGCCCCAGAGCTCCGCTGCTGGCTCAATGCCAGGCCCCAGTCTGGCTGCTGGCGCTGGCTGGCCTGGCCCCCCC